AGTACATTCGGCAATGAAATCTGCCAGTGCCTGTCCTTTGATCGTTGGCCTCGGCTTGAACTCTATGTTGTACTGGCCGATCATCAGGGACCATTTGGTTATCCTTCCGCTGGCCATGGGGTTTCTGAGGACTGTGGCGAGGGGTTGTGTTGTGTATACTGTCACTGGGTGTGCTTGGAAGTACGGTGCCAGGCGTTTGATGGATGCTATCAGGGCGAGGACCGTCTTCTCCATCAGAGTGTATCTGGTCTCTGGGCCGTTCAGTGCCTTGCTCACAAAGTAGATTGACCGCTGAACGCCTTCTGCCTCTTTTAGTAGTACAACACTCACAGCCAAGTCTGCCACTGCCAGATACATGTATAGTTGTTCCCCTGGGTCCGCCTTGGTGAGGACGAGCGGAGAGGAGAGGTATACCTTGAAATCTTCGAAAGCAGCCTGGCAGTCCGGTGTCCATTCGAAGGGATTCGCCTTCTTCATGATATGAAAGAAGGGAATCGCCTTGTCTGCTAGTTTTGACATGAATCGGCTCAGGGCTGCCAGCCGTCCGGTGAGCCGCTGTACGTCCTTCAGATTTTTAGGGGCCTCCATGTCAACTATTGCCTTTACCTTCTCCGGGTTGGGCTCGATCCCCCGTTCGCTCATCATATAACCGAGGAACTTGCCACCCTTGACAGCAAAGGCACATTTCTTCGGATTGAGTCTCATGCTAGCCCCTTCCATGATGGTGAAGATCCTTTCCATATCCCGAACGTGGTCATCCTTCTTCTTGCTTTTGATCAGGATGTCATCCACGTATGCCTCCATAGTTTTGCCCAGTACGTCCTTGAACAACATCCCGATCATCCTCTGGAAAGTAGCCATGGCGTTCCTCAGGCCGAACGGCATGACTACGTAACAGTACACGCCGTCCGCCGTGACAAACGCCGTTTTCTCCGCATCGTCCGGGTGCATGAACACCTGATGATATCCTCTAAATGCATCCATGAAGCTGAGCAGCCCGCAGCCCGCCGTCTCGTCTACGAGCAAGTCGATCCTCGGCACCGGGTATGGATCCATCGGACAGGCTTTGTTAAGGTCCGAGTAATCGACGCACATCCGCCATGTGTCGCCTTTTGGGGCTAATACCACATTAGCCAACCACTCCACGTGGATGACCGGCCGGATGTGCTTGATGCTGAGGAGCGTAGTAGCCTCCTTCTTGATGAAATCCCGCCGCTCGGCTGCCATATATCTCTTCTTCTGTTGGATAGGCTTGGCATCCGGCCGTACGGCGAGTCTGTGACATATGAGGTTGGGGTCTATGCCAGGCATGTCCTCCGGCCCTCTGGCAAATAGGATTTTGAATCTCCGGAGGACAGCTATGACCCCCTCCTTGATTTCAGGCTCAAGGTCGGCGCCTATGGACACCTTCCAGTCCGAAGGGTCGTCCAATTCCACCTCTTCGAGCAGGGCAGCTGGTTCCAGACGAGCATCGAAGTCGGCCTGTCTGGCCTTCTCAGTGATGTTGTTGACCCGGGCTTCTCGCTCGCTGAACCTCTCCATGGCCTTGGTGTAGCAGGCCCTGGCCATGTGCGGGTCCGTGTGGGCCACTCCCACTCCAGTCTCGGTGGGGAATTTGATGCATGAGTGCCGCACGGAGCATATGGCCTCAAGATCTTCTAGGCCGGGCCGGCCCAAAATTGCGTTGTGAGCACATTTTAGGCGGACCACGACGAACGTCATCCGGATGCGGGTGGTGTGAGGTCCATCCCCGATCTCCACGGGGAGGCCGATGGTGCCCTCCGCGTCGATGCAGTCCCTTGTGAATCCAGAAAGAGGGGTGCGTAGGGGGGCCAGTTGGTCCTTCCTCAGTTTCATCCCTTCGAACGCCTCCCAGTAGAGGACGTTCACGCTGCTTCCAGTGTCAACAAGGACGCGGCGGACGATTGCATTGTTGATATCCATGCTGATCACCAACTCATCCCTGTGCGGGGCCGGCGACATTGGTAGGTCGGCCGGTCCGAAGGTGATGGCCTCCACCTTGTTCCTTTTAGTGGGGGAGCTGATATGGAGCCCACATAGAGGGACCTCTCAAACTTCTTCCGCTCCGCAGGCGTGTCCCCAGTCTCGGCGCCCCCGAAGATCACCTTGATCTCCAACTTCTTCTTCCCGCCGTTCGGGCCGAGGGACCCCTCCGGACGTTTATCAGCACTTCGGTAGTCTACGTCCTTTGGTTCCGCCTCGCGCCGATCGTCGCGGCGCCATGATCGTGACCTCGGATTCGGCTGCCTTGGGCTATTCTTCTTCAGTAGCTGGGTGAACTCGCCCAGGTAGCCTTGTTGGATCAGCTCGTCGATGGCCATCCTCAGCTGTTTGCAGTTGTCGGTGAGGTGGCCGACCCTCTGGTGGTATTCGCAGTATGCGGTCTCATCAAGACCCATAAGCGCCTTCTTGTCTTGGGGCTCCCTTAGGATGCCCTTGTCTTTGATGGCATCGAAGATCTGGCCCACGGGGTAGGCCAAGGGGACGTGGTACTCCTCCGGACGCATGTGGCTTGCCTCAGGATGGGCCTTCCACGGAATCATGCCGCCGTCCGTCTTCTTCTTCTTATTCGGGGGGGATGGTCCGCCTCCGGGGCCGAGCCTATCTGCCAATTTCCGGGAGGGGGCCGCAGGCGCGCCGTCCCTCAGTCTGATCTCCTCCTCAATGGAGGCATACTTCTGTGCCCGAGCCAGCACCTCGGTGTAGCTGGTGCTGGGGTTCCTCCGAAGGTCCCGGTATAGGTCCCCTGTTGCTAAAGCGCTGGTGAACATGTTCACTCCCAGCCGCTCGTCCAGATCATCCACCTGGAGCACTTCGTCTCTCCATCTGACCAGAAATTTGGCCAGAGGTTCGTCCTTGCCCTGCTTCACACTGGTGAGCGATGTGAAGCTCTTCTTGGGGGTGGTGCTGGCAGCGAATTGCGCCATGAACTGTTGGGACAACTGTTCGTAGTTATCAATAGATCCGGGCCTCAGCTGCCCGAACCACTCCTGCGCCGGGCCCCTCAGGGTGCTGAAGAAAAGCCGGCAGATGGCCTCATCGGATGCTCCCAGCATGGAGAGGTTCCCCTGGAAGCTGATCAAATGAGCCTTGGGATCTCCGGTCCCATTGTATACTATTCCTCCGGGGGGTCTGCAGTCCCGCGGGATCTCTGCATTCATGACCCTCAGAGTAAACGGCGAGGTGAGGGAGAAACGAGGCGTAGCTGGGGTGGCCTCCGCCCGTTTGTCCATTTCGGCTATTCGCCGCTCCATTGCCTCTAGCCGGGCCTCCTGTGCGGCCCTTCCAGGGGACACAGGAGGGGCGGCCTCGAGCGCAATGTTCCTTCGTGGGGCAACCGCGTCGGGTTGCCTTCGGGTGATGTGGGCACCATGCCTTTGGAAACGTCGCCCAATGTTACTGGCGGCGGGGGTAATGGCGGTGCTCTGCTGTCCTGAGGGAACATCCGGCGTGCGCCCCCAATGATCGTCCTGCCAACCATAACGAGGGGTGCTGGCGCTGCTGTGCCCCCCAGCCCCGTGGGATGATGGATTTTGGCCCAACCTCATGTGGATGGGCGTCCGACGCCCGGCAGATTCTGCTGTCTCGTCCAGGGACTGCATGTGGTGGATGGGTGATATGGGCGTCCAGATGGTGTTAGCTGAATACACCTCTTCTTCTGCCTCCCGTTCGTCCGCCATCCGGCGCATCGTTTCCGCCAACTCCCTCATGAGTCGGGGGCCGCGTCTGGCCTCGTGGGGGATGAGGTTGGTGAGGCCACCTTCACCCCCGGTAGTTCCCAACGTCTTGGAGCGTTCCGTGGTTTGCCCGCGGTTGCTTCGCCCGCGGGACAGCTGCTCGGAGAGGTCACGTCGTCGATTGTTCCTTGTCATCTTGCTTGCTGTGGGTAGATTTAGTAGCTGTTTGGGAGAGTTTTGGAAACTTTTAGTTCAGTTTCCCACAGACGGCGCCAGTGTTGAGGTTTATTCCTTCAACCCTCGGGTCCAACACGTAAGCCCAAGGATTTCGAGTGGAGTATGTGTGAGTAAACTAGCCCAACTAGCAAGTAATAAGAATCAAGGAGAACAATAAGTAGCAAGTAAGTGATTAGGTATTATTATCTCTTAATAACTCCCTAATACAATACTTTTCGCTAAGGCTCCGTCGGCCGTTCGTCTTACAAGGCAGTAGAAGTGCTGCGAGTAAGAATGCTATAGCTAGAGTGCTAAGAATAGAAAGTTGCCAACCCTTTACAATGAAATAAATGCTTCTATTTATACCCACCAATGGGCAGGTGGCTATATTGACGTGGAAGTCTGTGGTTCGCTGGTGTCCCAACCACCAAATCTTCAGCATTAAATGCACTTCCCGCCAGAATCTAAGTTTCCCGCCTAATTAGTGGGCACGTCCGTCCGCCAGGGGAGCGAGTTGGACTGCTCCAGGTGGCCTCCAAGGGGCATCGGCCGTTCGTCCCCTGGCCTTTGGCTCCAGGTGGGTTCTCGCCATGCGGACTGGACCGCCTCTGATGGCCATGGGCTTGTTCTGGCGACGTTCGTCGTCATTCCGGCGACCCGTGGTCCTGCTCCTTGTCCATGCATAGACGTTCGTCGGGATGGGCCGTTGAGCAGGTCCCAACCACAGACATTCGTCTCTCCTGGGAAAATGGGCTTGCCAGGCTAGCTCGATGATCTGCCTGGACGTTCGTCTGGAAGGAGGGGTAAATGGGCCGAACCTCAACTTGGGCCATTAACCCAACATAATCTATTTTACATGCAAAATGATTGCTTTCCTATACTTTGCGTGCGATCACTTCGCGTGTAAAGATTCAACGTGCAAACTACCAAACGAGCCCTGAGTCTTTTGTATTATGAGTGAGTAGATATATGTACAAAAGTCTATGAGCTCACGATCTTGGAAAAGGTTATGATCATGTTTTTCCAACACGAAGCTATTATACAACATTTTAAACAAATTAAAACTCGTATATTTGATTTACTCAGATTATAGATATGAGTCGAGCAGTATGTAATGAACTAATTTGTACTAATATATTACATTTTTTTAATTATATTTTGAATAAATACACCTTAATTCTTATTCTTTTGCTCGGCCACGGCTGTATAAGCCCGCAAGGTAGATCACCAGTCGAGTTTTACTCCCTAACTGAAGAAGAAGACGAAAGAAGTCCCAAATGCCGAGGGAAATTATAACGCTGCAAGTAGGACAATGCGGGAATCAGATTGGAATGGAATTCTGGAAGCAGCTCTGCCTCGAGCACGGCATCAGCAAGGATGGCATCCTCGAAGACTTCGCCACTCAGGTTAGCTATCTCGCAAGTCGCAACTGCGGCCGCCTAGGCCCTACTCAGCCCTAATCAGGCCTTACACCCAATTTACACTATTAGAACAGTTCTTCACTCTACTGCACTCCTATCTTGAGTCGTACGCGTCTATGCATGTCTTGCTGAATGTACCAAAGTCATTCTTGTTTTTCTGTTTGGGTTTTATTATGGTCATTTTCGAAAATTGTATTGATAGTGACTTTAAGAGTTATAATTGGTTTACATTGTGGTTGGGAATTGTTAGTTAAAATTCAGTGTTAAAACGTAAATATGTTAAACACAAAAAAATACTACTCCAAAATATATACTTACATTGTGGTTGGGAGTACGTATTATTTACTTGGAATTGTATTAGGATTCAAATGAATTTATCTAATATGAACCAATTCTAAATACGCTCTTAGTAATGACTAATGAGCGTGTCAAAAGTTGCTAATTTCCTTGTTTTGTCTCAGATTTTTCTAAAGGTTTCTGGAATATGTTGGTCAAATTTTCCTTTTTAGTAGAAATTCAGACATCTATACATAGGGGTGTTTGGAATTGATTCTGTTTTTGCTTCTTTTAAAAATAACTGCTTCTAGGAGCATTCTGGAGAACTCAGAAATACTGCTCTTTCACCCAAACACTCCAATAAGGAGCATAAGCAGTTTTTAGAAGCAGATCCTAACAACCCCATAAAATGGAGTCTAGATAGGGGTGCAATCCGGAGTCTAGATAGGGGTGAGATCTGAACCCCTCATCCCAAGTTCGGCCAATAACTTTTTGCTATATGTGATTTTTTTAGTATAGAACTTTTTATGAGTTGAATTATTTTTTCCTGCACATGCCAAATTCAAACTGAGGTGAGCTTAGTTATGCCAATGGACACTGGAGTGCTCGAGTGATTGATAGTTTTATCCTTTCAATGCTCGTTTTTAGTTTTTATAATAATATTGTCAGGAGATATTATACATTTTTTTTTGTGAAATTAGAAACAATTGCAGTATTTTCAACCTTGGTATGAGTGTATGACATTATTTGGAAAGTTTATATAATTTGATTGGAATATATGCAAAAAAACAAGGTGTGGTAAAAGATATGAAGTTTTTAATCTACTTGAAGATTTTTGTGCATGGCTTACTTAACCTTATATATGCTGTTTATTGTTTATTTTGTGTTTCTTTTGCGAAATTACTTTCCCTGCAGTCAATGCGACATGTAATACCTTGATTTCCTTTTGATTTGCTACTCATGGCATGTTTTACGTCTATTTGGTGTGTCTACAAGAATCAAAGGGAAGATGTGTTTGTAGTCCGCAATATCCTTGCAGCTCTTCTCAATTTCAGTTTTTTGCTACATGAAAAGAAATGTCTCTCTCTCATTGGAAATGAGTTGTCTAGGAATCTAACCACACATATGTATAGAAATGAAAAGCTTCTTAGCATATTTCTTCCCTCATAACCTATGTTATAACGATAGCTACTTCCACATGTGGAGGGTGTTCGACAATTCAAATACTTCCCCATTCTATTTTGGCAAGAACCGTGTTTTAAATGTGCTGAATACACCATGTTGCAGGGAGGTGATAGAAAAGATGTATTTTTCTATCAGGCTGATGATCAACACTATATACCACGGGCTTTATTGATGGATTTGGAGCCTAGGGTAATTAATGGTATACAGAATGGTGAATACAGAAACCTTTACAATCATGAAAATGTGTTTGTTTCTGATCATGGGGGAGGAGCCGGGAATAATTGGGGAAGTGGATATCATCAGGTTTGTTTTTATTACTTTATTCGTTTATCATATCGTTTCTAGTGTAAGGAAAAGGAGTGCCAGCTGTGTAAATGAGGCGAGGTCGTACTGTGTCATTATTTATAACCTAGTATGGTGTCATTCTTTAGAACAATTTATGCATGTTGCAGATGTAGGTAGCCAGATTGATAGAAACCATATGTTAACACTGCGTGTAATGAACTCCCTTATTATTCACTGTATAGTTTTGCTAGATACAATCTCCTTTTCCAGCATACATCATAAAGATCACTTAATTAAGATGATTGCTAGAGATCACTTAATTCAATCACTTAATCTCCTCTTTAATCACTTAGAAATATAATTCATCTTAATTATGATGATTGCCAGAGATAATCTCCTTTTCCAGCATGCGTGATACGTCATAAAGATCTCTTTGTCAACATAATTTTCTGTCTGTATCTCTAATTTACATGGAGATTTGGATAGTAAAAGGAAGCTCAAAGTTGGGCGAGATACCTTCTTACATTGAAACTTGAAGCTTTTGGTTAAAAGGAAAATGGTTTTTCCTAAAATATTACTTAAATAGAAGTTGTTCGGAAGTATTTTTTCCTACACTTACTATGAGTGTCTGTACTATGGTGATCAATGGAAGTGTGCAATCGAACATAATCTCGATCATTACAACAAGTATTTAGTCATTGTGTATTAGAAGTCACATTTTTGTGTTTAGTAATATATCAGCCATTATTTCAAAAGGAAGAAGTAGAAGTAATTCAATGTTCGATTTTGTGAAGTTTTTATCTAGATGTGGCCTAGATCTTTAGATTTACTTTTTAATTTCTACTAATTTATGTATTTATGTTTTTTTTTAGGAAAAATTGAAAATAATATCCCAACTATTGCCGGCCCGCTGATAATAATCCCAACTGTTGATTATTTTTGTATAATCCCAACTATATGGATCATCCGCCAATAATGGTCCATGACCAGATATTACCTCCTATAAAAAGTGAATTTTATATTGAAATTAAGTGTAAAAATTAAAAGTTGAGATTATTTATAGGGATTACTTGCTATATCTCTCCTCATGCACTTTAGAAACTACATGAATTTATTTATAGGGACTATTATTGGCGGAAGGTCCCTAAAGTTGGGATTATTATGAAATAATTGATAGTTGGGATTATTATGAACGGACCACCAATAGTTGGGATTATTACTATCAGTTTTTCCATTTTTTGTTGTTATCATGTCTCCCACAATTCATGAAAATTACATGATATGTCGTATGACTGAATTCTTTGTGTAATACTTAATTAGGGAAAAACATATGAGGAAGACTTAATGGACATGATTGATAGGGAGGCTGATGGAAGTGATAGTCTTGAGGGTTTTGTTCTCTGCCACTCAATTGCTGGTGGAACTGGCTCAGGTTATTTCTCCTTTGTCAATTTAGACCTATTTTTATTTATTTTTCTGTTTTCAGAAACACATTTTTGTTTAGCAATGGTTGTTCAAACAAATTCTGTGTGCTGCCTGACATTTTAATGAACTTTTATTCTGTCCATTAATCACTTTGTTCTGGTGTAGGTATGGGCTCATATTTGTTAGAGACTCTTAATGACCGGTATAGCAAAAAACTTGTTCAGACATACAGCGTATTCCCCAACCAAAACGAGACAAGTGATGTGGTTGTTCAGCCATACAACTCCCTTCTCACACTCAAGAGGCTAACACTTAACGCCGATTGTGTTGTTGTTCTTGATAACACGGCGCTCAATAAAATAGCTGTGGAGCGCCTTCATATAACAACTCCCACTTTTGCTCAGACAAATTCTTTGGTTTCTACTGTCATGTCAGCAAGCACAACAACATTGCGGTATCCAGGATATATGAATAATGACTTGGTTGGCCTCCTCGCTTCTCTTATACCAACACCAAGGTGCCATTTTCTGATGACGGGATATACACCACTCACTGTGGAGCGTCAAGTGAGATTTCTATTCTTGATCGTTCTATTTGTGCATGCTTGATAGATTAAGTTGAATATAACAATATAGAGTCAAAGTGGGTTATTTAATCTATTTTTGTTGTGATCATCATCACAATCCATGATTCAACGTCCTTCATGAGTTGCAGAATCTCCTAAAAGGTCAAATATCTGGTCCTGAAATTAGGGGCTTGTTTTTGTCTTTGTTTTTTCCGGTTTATATTTGTGCGTCAAACTGCTCTTTCCAGAATGCTAGTTGGTCTGTGAATTGTGTATCTGTATATGAACACTGAAAGGACATTTTATGTATTTGACCATTGAGTTTATCTGAACGGTGTGCAGATGGGTTAAAGATTCACACATGTATAATCACTTAAATTAGGGAGAACTGTCAATTTCGTCCTCGTACTTTCGCGAAAAAGTCCATTAGGTCCTCATACATTAAAAAAATCAATCAAACCCCTGAACTTTGAAAAACGTTCAATTGAGTCAATTAGCAGGTTACCCGCTGACGTGGCACACACATGGCGGTTCACGTGTGCGCTTTGTCATCGGCAAAGGGATGACTAGACTTCCGCGTGTGCACCACGTCAGCAGAGTCACTGCTGACTAGGCTGCCACATGCATGCCACGTCAACAGGTGACATGCTACATGGCAGGTAACCTGCTAATGGACTCAATTAAACCTTTTTACAGAGTTCGAGGATTTGATTGATTTTTTTAAAAGTAAGAGGACTTAATTGACTTTTTCGTGATAGTATGAGGATCAAATTGAAAGTTTTCCCTTTAAATTAATAAAAGATGTGTGTTTCCTTCCAAACTTTGATGCCAAAGCAATGTTTTATGTTAGTGTCACTGATGATGTGTTTTTCCCACTTGTATTGGCATTATTGGTTAATGAGTGTCATTATAGGAATGAAAATTTCAAGAAGTGGAGGGCGACATCAATGCAATGTCAACTTATTACTTATACGTGATGTTTTTCAAATGATAATAACTTGAAATGGTTATGTCAACTTAAAGCTGAATGTTTGGTGCACTAAGGACATCATATAAGTAACCAGCCAATTGAGACTGCACTTTCACTTTGTGGAATCCAACTCACGTTTATGAACATTGACCATGTCCATCTATTAAGTGTTAATTCACATATCTTTATCTATGTCTGATTGCTGCAACTGGATGGAATGTGGGAAGAATATAGGGAGAATTTGACTTTGCATCCCATTTTATGGGTGATAACGTGATATTTGACTTTGCACCCAACTCCTTCACAATTTTTGGGTTGATGGGGTGCACACATTGATGATTTTGAAAATGCGGTGCAAAGTCCAATATCATCAAAACATGGGGTGCAAAGTCAAATTCTCCCAAAAATATTACATCACATGATGGTAAGAACTTATGTCAGTGATGCATTTTGTTTTTGGCAAAAGAAAAAAACGGTATTGTGATCCAGATAGTCCTTCTCACAGGCCAATGTAATACGCAAGACAACAGTCCTGGATGTGATGAGAAGACTTCTTCAGGTGAGATATGACTCTCATGAATTGTTCTGAAAATAATGAACACCTAATATACTCAAAGCTTTCTTCTTTGCAGACTAAGAATATAATGGTTTCCTCTGATGCTCGGACAAAAGCAGCAAGTCAGGCAAAGTATATATCAATATTAAACATTATTCAAGGAGAAGTAGATCCTACACAGGTATTCTTGAATCTTGATGCAATGCTTATTAGGTATTTGACTTCTGTACCCAGTAATACTTCTATACATGCTATGAATTCTAAGCCATCATATTTATACTTATAGTGGTATCATTGGAGATCTTTCAAGATTTTACTCATTATGGTATTAGTCCGTATTAATCTATGAAAGGTTGGTGTATGGTGCAGATCAAAGACTCCAAGTGTTTCCCATTGACCATTAGATTATAAGTTCAGGCCCTTATAAACCCATAACTGAGAACTAATTGAGGTTCACATTCCATATTGGCTATGGCCTTTTAGGAAGCAAAGTTACATAGTATAATTTCTGTTAGTCGTTTTTCTTATTTTAATTACTAGTACCAAATTAAGCATCTCTTTTTAATTTCTATTAGAGAAGATTTATTCTGAGGTTGTGGTTTTCTACTGCATATACATTTTCATCAAATATTTCAGTGTGGTTCGGAGCTTGTTTCAGAACCTAAAATTTCATCAGATTTTGTAAGTTTAGTCATGTTTGGGAACATCCTGCTTTTTTATAACTCTTTTTGAGTTGGAAATTTGTAGCTAATGATTACTTCTCAACAGCTTAATTTTTTCGTTTCAGTCATTTTCATACTACCATGTGAAATCTATTTCATATGTCCATAAAAGCTTTCCACTTTTCTGATTTGGGTGTCCCAAATTTTTTTCACTACCGCTTTAAGGAATGGATGTAGTTCAATTCATATTGTTTATCTCTTCCATAAATTTCAACCACCCTTTTCATTTAATTAAACGGCGTGTTAGTTAGAGACTTAGAGGTTACAAATCTTGAAGGGATGGGGGTTTGTAATGTTTTGTTGTATCCGATCAGAATTAATTATTTTCCATCCACTTTTTTTAACACTTTACTCACGATTATAACAACAATCTATCATACTATATGTCGATAGTCCTTATGTTGAAGTAAACTATCTTTTCAACTTACATAGCACACTGCCACACTTATTGTTAAATTTCTGGATTGTCGAACATTAGGTCCATGAAAGCCTGCAGAGAATACGTGAAAGGAAGCTTGTCAATTTTATTGAGTGGGGCCCTGCTAGCATTCAGGTAATAATCCTTACTAGTATATACTATATATTAACATGTAAAGTTCATTTGATTGTTTTATTCCACAACTTCAACTTAACGAAGAGCTTAATGCTCTCTCTCTCTCTTGTAGGTTGCTCTATCTAGAAAGTCACCCTATGTCCAAACTGCTCACAGGGTAAAATTTCCTTGTTCAAATGTTAAATGCTTACTAAATCAGGAATTAACCTCGTGGTTTGTGATAGTAAACATGCACGACAATAGGTAAAAGAAAATGTACTAGTAGACTATAAACATGAAAGAAATACAAAAATGTCTTGACTCTCTCGAGAACTCTCCTAGTGCCCCAAATCGAACTCTCCAACAATTGAGAACTCTCCTAGTGCCCCAAACTGAACTCTCCAACAAGTATAACACTTGCCCCCTTAGCAAATCTGACTATTTTACCCCAAAAGTCAAAACTAACTTGATTCATAGTCTAATACAAGAATGTAAACTGGGTAAAAGATGGTAATTAGCAATTAATTATTTTTGATATCACACTATTGATAATTTATTAATAGAATCTTCCATTTAAACATATCTGATATTTTCTGATCCCCTCTTGATTGATTCTTTGACTTGTCTTGGAAGACTAAGATATATGCTGTGCATCCCCAAATAACTGTTTGAGCACATTTTCCTTATAATTATTAGCACCTGTGAGGATTGGAATCAGTGCAGAAGAAGTATAATATTATATATTCCTCTTAGGTCAGCGGTCTTATGCTTGCAAGCCATACAGGCATCCGTCACTTATTTTCAAAGTGCTTGAGCCAATATGAGAAGTTGAGGAAGAGAGGAGCCTTTCTTGACAGCTATAAGAATCTTGCGATGTTTACTGTAAGTTGCATTACAACTTCTTTTCCTTGATAAAAATTGATGTGTATTTATGCTTAGCCAATTAGTAAATGAAAAAGGAAGATGCAAAGCTGGATTTTTCTTTCTGCAAAAGGTCGAGTTAAAACGCAAATGGCTCAAAACATGTAAATCCATCTACTTACATAAGTATAATGCCATGGACTGTAGTGCTCTTTGTTAGGATTGTCGGTGCTAGGGCTCCTCTTAATTCAAATTCAGGGTGAGCCTGGAAAATAAATCATTCATATACATTTCATTTTTTCAAAAGTAAAATATTTTACATATTGGTAAATGTTTCGACTAAACCTAGGATGGCTGGCTCATGATTGACCCCACTAGCTGCTCTGATGTTTGCTAGGTTTCGTGACTGCAGATGTTGATGTTTCGTCACTCCACACCTCACATTTTCGTCTGACCCCACAAACCACAGCACACCATACTCCCCTAATCCAAGAAATAGTTTTAGAACTTTCCCTTTATGATTATGTCTTGAACATGCATTGAGAGGTTATCGAAATTGCAATATCGAAGTTACAATTTCGAATTGGTATCTGTTTGGACATTTGACAACTTATATTAACGAGGAAACATTTGCAGGACAATGACCTGTCAGAATTTGACGACTCTAGAGACGTAATTGAGAGTCTTGTCGATGAGTACAAGGCTTGTGAGTCCCCAGATTACATCAAGTGGGGAATCGAGGTAGACATGCAGCATATTTTTTGTGTGAAATTCATAATTGAGCTTTACAAAATGATCAAGTATGTTCTCTCCAGGATCCAGGTCAGGCTCTAACTGGTGAAGGCAATGCCAGTGGAGTAGTTGATGCAAGGTTAGCGACATGAACAGGATGTCCTTCCATGGTGATGCATGCCATGTAAATTATTCCTTGTCGTTTTTGGTTCTGTATATTTTTTATTCTCCCTAGAATTGTTTTTCACCATCTCACATTGTAACCTTGTTTGGGGCTCTCTTGAAGACTAAAAGTAGTGATTGGAAATCAGTAATTAGCTATTGGGAAATAGCATATTGGACTGGCTGATTAGTTTGAATAGAATTTCTTGGTTGTTTTGGAGTGGATACAATTAGGAGCTTTGATGTAAAACCCGTGCTAAAAAACAGTTATTTTTAAAAAACTTCCTATATTAATTGTTACTATTGATAATTTGTATGTGTCTGTGTTGTGCCTGTCATTTGTCATATTTACTAGGCTTAAATATGTTTTTGGTTCCTCCAAATATGTTGTGTTTTGTTTTTTTCCCTGTAAAATTATTTTAATTAATGTTGCCTTTTCCTTTTAGTCCCTTCCTGATCATAACAAGTTAATAACATTTGTTTAACAATGATTTTCAAAATGTGATTGACTAATTTTACATTATTTTAACTCTCATATTCGCATAAAAAAATCTAAAGGATAATTTTAATAATTTTTACCTTTATGTAGGCATTTTTTTTAAATCGAGTGTTCTTGCTTGGTGTTATTGATGAACTAATAAGAAAATAGTCTATGTTATAGAGATGAAAAATAATATAATTACTTTGTAAGAATATAAATTGAAGAAATAATGACAGTAACAATATCTATGAGTTTTAATTGGACAAATATATGATCTAATGCGAAATAGGACAAAGTGATTAATTAACAATGAATGGTCTGAAATAACTTTGTCTATTCTTTCGCTACATCTTTGTTTCGCACAATTGCACCTAGGGTTGGCCCGGGGCCGGTCTGACCGGCATGGCCCGCTACTGTGCGGCCCCGGCCCGGTGGACTGGTACTCGGCCTAGGCCCGACCTGGGGGGTTATGGGTGCGGGCTGCACATCCTTTGGAACCAGCCGGGCCGGTCCCGATTCGGGCCCTTTTTTTTCTTCAAATTTTTTTGGTGGTAGACGAGTTGGGCTGGGTCATTTTTTTTTGGGGGGGGGGGGGGGTGGAATTAATTAGAAAAGCTAAAAAAATATAACCTGACCCAAGCCCGGCTTAGCCCGGCCCCGGTGGAATCCCGGGCCGGTTCCGGGCCTTTACCCATAACCAAAAAGCCCGGTTTGGCCCTCAGTTGCACCTCAATTGCCGTGCTTCAGCTCCGTTTAGGCGTTTACACACTTCCAACCAGACAACCTAGAGTGTTGTTGCCGCTACTGTCGTTCTACCAACTATCCCGTATTCTCGTCGCCTCAGTCAGTACCTTGCTTCCTCACACCCCTTGTTGCCTTTGTCGGTGCCTTTCTACCACGTCCACACACCAGTCGCCTCCTTTGTTGCGCATCAGTTGCACCGTCGTTGCTTTGTTGTGCATTCCTCTGTCATCATTGTACTCCTCAGATGTCACTATCTCTGATATGTCACTTTCGCTGCAGTTCCGCACCGCTGCTGCCACACCATCGTTGCAACTCCTCACTTCTCCTTTCTTCTCACACATGGCTACAAGTTTTATGGATCCAGTGATGGTGAGTTTATCACAGATTTGATATCGAGTTGTGGACATCCGACCAAATCCAATGCCCATCTATTTATTTTACAGGGTTGGGAGAAGGGGCGGGTGTAGGGGTTGAGAAAGAGAATGGGTAGTTGCTTGAGAGGGGTTGGACATGGATATGACAGACGGACAGTCAAAAAGACCCACAACCCACTTTACACCTTCATATACTATTTTTTGTTTGGGTTGTAGCTGATTTGAGGTGAAAACCTCAAATTTAAGATTTTCACCTCTCCCATTGCGGCCTGTCTAAGGGGCTTCGACCCTCGCCATCTTGAGTGGTGACTGTGGGACGTGACTTTACGATGTTTCACCTTGATTATATGGTTGGTTTCGAGGAGAATATCTTACTCGTCCTTCACGAATTCTCTTCTCTCAATTAACATATACTCCATACATTTTATTTTGCTTGACTCAAGTGCAAGAAAGATCGACTGCTAGGCTACTAGCTCATGCCCCATGAAAGATAAGTTTTGATAATACAAAGAGAAAATTGTCAAATAGGCCTCTATATTATGTCAAAAAAGCATAGTAACCCCCGCACTCTGAAAACACCCAAATAAGCCCTCAAATTTTTAAAAAACACTCAATTGAGCGATTTAGCAAGTAAAGTTTTTTTGTTTTGTTTTGTGGTGGTGGACATCAAATGTGCCCACAATGCCATACTAGGTTGGCCTGGTTTGGAGGATCTAGAGGCGATAGCCTCTGTTCGGCATTCGTGCATAAAGTTTCCTACAGATACTGAAGTGGGAGTGGCCCAACGGACCCTACAACAACCATAACCTGCTATCGGGAAGCAATGAAGAAAATCAATGCCTGTGGTATACGGGTAAACAACATTGAAGTGGAATCACGACGAGTAGAGTTTGTGGCGCGACCTGAGCCAGCCACACTGCTAGAGCATATCACAACCGGAAGATTGCGATCGGGACAGATCTAGATCCAGAGTTAAAAGAAGGGGTAATTTATGTGTTAAAGAAGTATCAGGTTCCTTTTGTCCGAGGGCCAGAAGACATGTCAGGCATCGATCCAAAAATCATCTCACCGTTTGGCTGTTTGGCCTGATGTCAAGCCAGTACAGCAAAAGAAGCGGTATCAGGTGGCCGAACGTCGAGAGTTCAACCGAGAAGCGGTATCGGCAGAAAATTGTGTTATCCTCTTAACAAAATGAGTTCCAATATCTTTTGGGAGATATTGAAACATGCAACGGAAGTCTTGACCTCAAGGGTGTGACACTTTATAGAAACAAAGGTTATGACCCTTTTAGTTGTGAGGAGATAGATGAAACGTGGTACAAATGTGTTTGCCAGAAACATATGACTTAAGGAGCATGCTGCCGAAACCTGAAGGAGCTGGCTGCCAAAACCTTTGAGAGCAGGCTGCTGAAATTAAGGTTCTGCTTCAATTAGTTAAAATATAGCAATGAACTATACTCTAACACATTGATAAGCTTTAAAACTAGTCTTAACACATAAGTGTGAAGGATTTAGATCTATAAAAATAGAGCACTTTGATGATCAGAAAATAAGGAGTTGACTCACAATGAACTGGAAATGTTCACTGGACAGTTTTAGTGAGCAAGTTGTTTTGCAGTTAAATTGTGAAGGTGAGTGAGAACTGAAGTGTGTGTTGGGAGCAAAATATAAAAGGTGACACAAGATATATCCTAATTCAGAGGTGGTGTAATCCTCCTACATCCAGTCCCAACCTATTTCAAATGGATTTCCACTAAATGAATATCCCATTACATTTAGTGCCCAGGCCCAGGCGTAAACTGTGAGGTTTTTCACAAGGAATATCAACACCATTCCAAGCTACTCAGTCCTCCCAAGGTTTTTCACTAATGACATTGACTTGCCATGAGTTACTCATGTCCTTGACCTTCTCACCTTCTGGATTTGAACACAAAGCCCTCTAGAATGTGTAACACTAGTCTAGATTACATGGGTGTATATCTAAACTACCAGCTAATCTAAGCTCTATAGGTTTGTATGAATTATAACTAGTCGAAGAGCATTAGACGAGTGGGGTGATAGCCAAAATGGTGAAGGGAATCAGCTGGCTAGATGTGAGCATGTATAGTTTGATTCCTTTCTATTCCACTTGGCTCCTCTCGTTTTACCACACTTGGTATTCCCGCACTCTTTCTGTATTTATAGACTTGATCATTGAATCTCCACCGTTGGCTGAGGAAATCAATCTTGACTGTTGCTTCATCTTCTTGCTTTGTTCCACTTGACTGAGGCAGCATGGTTGGTCTTTGTCTTGTAGTGACACGGATAAAAAAAATCTTCACTCAACTTGTTTCCTCATTTCAATGCGAAGATAAAGATGTATTATCTTTATTCTTGTTACACGTAGAAACTAAGTATAAAAGCTGAGTGTTGTTCAATGCTTCCTTTCAAATAACAAATACTTGCTTTAAGTAAAATAGATTTATAAGAAATTTATAATGTGATAAAAATTTCTTATAAATTTACTTTTCATCAATTTGTTAATTTGATTGCAAGTTGGTCTTTTGTTTAATTGTTTTTGTGCTAAGAGAAGAGTGAGTTAATTTCGGATGAGTTAACTGGAAAACCAGATTTCAGCTGGCTGCCAGATTTTCAGATGGTTGCTGAAAACTGTGTTTTTCCAGTTAGCTTCTTTACAATGAATACCAGTTAACTCTTTTTCATACCTTTTCTTTTTTATGTTTTTCTTTTTGTTTTATGGTATGTTTCTTCTCTTTTTAGTACTCTGTGATTCTTATGAGTATTATATCACTAATATAGGAGCACATTACAATCAACAAATTAGAACATAAACAAGAGACTAGTCTAATACAGGGATAAGTAAAAAAGGGTGACATCATCAAAACTATTACATTTAATCATCAAAATCTAGGGGACCTAACAGAAATATACCTACTTTCCCATCCCATATGACATCCCTTGCATCCCCAAACCTTGGTCTGCCCACAACTGCTAAAAACATTATTTTGGGTATGAATTTCTTGGACTGGGCAGATAGATCTATATGGATCTTCTTCAGTACTGTGAGTGTAAAAGTTGGTTGTTTCCTTAGATAAGAAAAAGAAATAATTACATATATATGACTAAAATGAAGATTGTTTACAAAAATGTGATTAGTGACTAAAGTAGTAATGAAATCATGGTAACTTATATATAATTTTTGAACCATAGCTACTATGATCCTACATTGTAGTAACTATTAGTCACATTTTTGTAAAATAATTTTATTTCGGTAATATTTTTGAAAAAAACCCTAAGAAAAACCACTTTTCATCAATGTGGAGATGGTCATACAAATGATGAAAAGTGGAATTTCTTGGGGGGTTATGACTTATCAAGTGGCCCAAACAAAACTCTAACCTTTTAATCTTGCTTCCCTCATTAAATAAAGATTTGATTGCATTTGAGTGCCTTTTGATTTGTTCAGCTTTCACTAGTTTGTGCACGGTTGACTTTGAAACTTGCATGGCAAAGCCTAAAGATCTGATGTTCTTTCTCTTGTGCAGTGGGATTTCCTTTATGTACTCTAAGTCAACTGCTACCCTTTTTTGCCTACATTTCCCTTTTGTAGGCTTTGAACATTAATGGACAACCCTTGGTCCATTTGTTGCTTTGATTTTTTCCACAAGTCATGAACTGTCCTTCTAGAAATGTTGAACTGTGATGTTGTACTTGTTACAATACCCCTCTGAAGTCGCCCATCACTGCAGTTGGCTAAGAGAATTTCAACAACCCTACTCTTGTCTGGATTTGTTAACTTCTTCCATTTGTCGGTTGGTGCAGGAGCATTTAAGGCAATGGAAAGCTGTGGCTGTGTTGTTGTGGCTGCCACGAGGAGTTGCAGGAAGTTCAGGCTCTTCAATGCTCATTTTGTTGTTGTTGTGAGAGTAAATGAAGAAAGATAGGGTAGATATAAATAGAGTGTAATGTGAGGGAAATTCATATGGTTTGGCCGAAATATTGGAGGGAATTATTTTGTGGTTGGAAGTGTTTAGAAGAAATTAGATGTAGAAAGATGTTTTAATACTATTGGATGTGATATGTAATGAGTGTTAATGGATTGACTAATTTAATACTATTGGATGTGATATGTAATGAGTACCCCTAAGTACTGTTCATTATCCCCTTCCTTTTCTTTGTTTTGGCCGCAAGCCTTGAGGCTAATTTAGGAAAGTCAAAGCCAAAATTAAATCTACCTAAAAGTGTGTGAATGTCATATTGTGAAGTTGTTTTTGTGACGGATGGAGTATTTTTTTTAGTAAAATAAAGAAAAAATTATACTCCCTCCGTATTTAAAATTTTGCTACACTTTCTTTTTTGGGATGTATTTAAAAGTATACTATACTTTCCTTTTTAGGATGTATTTAAAAGATTACTACACTCTTCCCTTTTGGTAAGTTTTTCCTTTAAAATTACTCAATTAGACTTACTTTTTCTACTTTTATCTTTTTTTTCTTCATATTTTTACACACTCTCTCTTACTTTTTGTATATTATTCATTATTCATACTATATAATCCTTAAACAATGTGCCCAAAGCTATTGCAGTGAACTTTTAATACGGAGGGAGTATGAAAATTAGCTAAAATGAATACAAAAATATTAAACAATCTATCGCAAAGGAGCTCTACTTCAAAATTCAAAATGCCATGGTCGAGTTTTACTTTTTGCTTTTTATTCGTACCAGAGTCCTTAAATTTGCCCCGACAAGGCGATGGACGTGCAAGCATCTCCTCCCTTTTGTTTTGTTTTCCGTTCATTTTACTCTCTGTGTGTACAATACAGTTATATTATTATATCCATGGATACAGGAACGTCAAACGTCTATGCATCGGTGACTCGAAAATGTCGAAGCCATTCAAGCTCAATCTCACCTCACACCCAAATTTCTGCCCGTCAACGGCAATCCACTTCTCTCTATCCCCCTCTCTTCTTTCTTCTTCCTTTCGTCTCCCAAATTTCTTCTTGGTTGCCTCTCCTCCTCAACAACCCTTCCGAGGCACACCTCAGAAGGACAATTTTAAAATACAAACTTGACATTTACGCAGGGGTTGTTATTTTTATTGTACGAACGAACAAGGATTAGTCATGTTTCGTTTCTTTTCTGCAGATTAAATTACTTATTTATTCGTTGTTTAAAACAGAGAAGGGGTTGTATCTGTGTGTGTATTATATTTGTTTGATTGAAGGAGGAGGCTCAGAATGGCCGCGATTGATGTGAGGTTATTGATTGTGGCTGTGCTAGTGATGGTGGCGGATGCGAATTTGGTGTTCAAGGTGAAGCATAAGTACGGTGGGCGTGCCAGCTCCGTATTGACAGAGCTCAAGGCTCATGATTCCCGTCGCCATGGACGAATGCTGTCTTCCGTTGACTTCCAATTGGGCGGAAATGGCCAGCCCACTGATGCCGCGTTAGTCATCTATCAATTTGTTTCTAAATTTTCCTTTTAGAACAAGTTATTTGTGTTTACCGTTTCTTATTCTCATCTGGGTAGTGCACATCTGCATATGTATGTATTTTTATGTTGTACTCCGGGTTTCATGGTCATCATTTCCCTCATTTGGTCAATATTCTATGCAAAAATGATTTTTTTACTTGTGAAATGTACATAAAATTTTATATGCAAGTAAATTGAGAGATATGTACTCTTGAAAATAATAGCTCACACTTGGAGATGTTATGAATCTTATGATTGGGTTAGTTAAAGTGCGACTACAGAGATTGGGGAGAAAATTAGATGGAAACAACTAGTGAGGGAAGAAAAATGGAGGAGAGAATTTGGGAAGAAAGGAACAAAGGGGGGAGATGAAAAGAGAGGAGTGAGAAGCTCAGCATGTTGGATGGAAGAGTTGAGAAAACTCTAATGCATATTGTTTGAGCTGTTGAGTAAGGGACATCCATTTTCACTTGATTTCCGGAAGAGATGAGAATGTTTTAGTGCATATTGTATGAGCTGTTGAGTAAGGGACATCCATTTTCACTTTATTTCCTTCCCATTCTGAAGGATAAAAATTATTCACTCATTTCCCCCCTATTTGACTATTTTCCCCCCTATTTAGCATGTGCTCTTGTATTCAATTTAATGATATTAATCAGCATGCATTTGTATTCTTAGAAACATAATACACTAAACGATGTTCCTTTCCAACACTATCTTGATTGATTACATTACTTCTACCCTAAAAAAATCTCGTTATGAACTTGTAATGATATATGGAAATTTTCACTTTAACTTTCAGTTGATGGTTTGGTCTAAAACACTTATAGATTTCTGTGTACAAAAACAACAACATCCAAGCCTTATTCCCAAAAGATTTTGGGGTCGGCGGCTAACATGAAACGATCCATGATATCAGAGCCTAAAAGTGAAGAAAGCTAAAAAGAATAAAATGATAAAGTAAGATAAAATGGATAAGATAAAGATATATATATATAGATAAGAGATCACATACTAACCATGCTTAAAATACTAACTTACTAACTCAATAATATGCAACACATTGAACTTCAATATGCAGTACAAATAATGTAAAGATGCACACTGTGAATTTCAATATGCAATAAAAACAATATGCAAAACTTTGAACTTTAATATGCAGTACAAATAATATGCAACACTTTGAACTTCAATATGCAGTACAAATAATGTAAAGATGCACCGTTTTTGATAGTTTGTAGGTTAGCATGGGAGGAATGGTTAGTATGTGATCTCACCCCTATATATATATATATATATATATATATATATATATATATATATAACTTAAAAATAACATAAGAACACAAGAAGGCTAAAAGATACAAAAATTGCATGTTTTTTTGGGTTAAATTCCTTGATGGTTAAAATTGCAGGCTGTACTATACAAAGCTTTCAATTGGGACACCTTCACATGACTATCATGTCCAAGTTGATACTGGAAGTGACATCCTGTGGGTGAATTGTGCTGGCTGTGACAAGTGTCCTAAAAAGAGCAACCTTGGGGTGCATCCTTTGTTCTGCATCTCCCCCCTTTTTATGTTTTCCTTTCCTTTTATTTTTCATAACATGTTGCCCTCTGGTGGTTTCTTGTTCAACAGATAGAGTTGAAGCTTTATGATTTAAAGGCCTCTTCAACAGCACAGGCTGTTACTTGTGACCAACAGCTTTGCACAACTATGTTTAATGCCCCATATACTGATTGCAAGGTTGGAATGTCTTGTGAATATCAAGTTACTTATGGGGATGGAAGTGCCACTGCAGGATACTTTATTCAAGATGATGTTCATTTTGATCAAGTGACCGGAAACCTTCAAGCCTCATCGATGAATGGGCCAATAGGATTTGGGTAAGTTGGCAGTGTTTCCTTGTGTCTTATTTCAATTGACATTTTAGTATGCAGTGATGCTTGTTTGATCAGTTTGACTATATTTATCTCCTTATTAGGATGTTGGCCAAGAATCCTTTATAGGTTGAGTGTTGTTAGAGTCCCAATGACATTGAAACATTAAAGTTAGACATTTGGATATATAATGTCTTGATTATTCTGGCTAATTGATCGGATTCAATCTTTTGGTGTTGTTTGCCCCAAGTGCTTCATGACCCAACCCAAATCCTGGATTATATCATGATGTGGTCAATTTCATTTCTGCAATTATCTGTTAGAAAGTCAATCCTAGCAGGCCGTAATCCCTTAGACCGATTGTTGGTCTGAATCTATCGCCGGCTTCCCTTGGCCAAACTAACTCGGTTATCTTTCTAGAAATCCCCTAATGGGCCAAATGCAAGCGAGCAATTGGTTAAATTTAAATGTATATGTATGCAATTGAGTGACCCGAACCCAATCCTGAGCCGTATATAATGTCTCGAGTAAGACTAGCTAATTGATGAGATTCAATCTATTAGTGTAGTTTGATGCAAGTGCGTTGTGATCTGATTTCGTGGCTCAAACCGAACCCTGAATCGTATCAATTGTTAATAGGGAGTTTAACCCCTTAAATATTCTATTATGCGCTCTTACACATTTTCCCAGGTGCTCAGCCAAACAATCTGGAGAGCTAGGTACATCTACAGCAGCAGTTGACGGGATAATTGGTTTTGGACAAGCAAACTCATCCGTCATTTCTCAGCTAGCAGCATCTGGGAAGGTGAAAAAGATATTCTCACATTGCTTGGATAATAAAAATGGGGGTGGCATCTTTGCTATTGGACAAATAGTTGAACCCAAAGTAAATTCAACACCACTTGTTCAAAATGAGTACGTAACATTTTGGTTATCTATTTTCTTCTCTTCAATGTTGGACTTAATGAGCAAGTAATTATGTAATGATTTGTTCACATTTAATTCAAATCATTAATTCATTATGCATGTTTCAGCCTTGAACCTGCATCTTTAATAGCTCATGTTTTTAAAGAATGAATATAATTGGGAAACAAGAGAAAAGTAAGGAATAGTTGCTACTACATGTCTATGCTTCTGACTTAAGGCATCATTAAATTAGAACGTGCAGTGAGTGAGGCGGGGAGGAGAGGGAAATGAAGACCCAAATGGACATGGATTAGAGTAGTCAGGAGTGATATGCTTCTTCTTGGGTTGGGTGAGAGTGATTTTTAAGAGAGCAAAGTGGAGGGAGAATATTCGTGTCGAGAATTGATCTCTTTTCATCTTTTTTATCCTTTTATTTTATTTTTTTATATTCTTTATCTTTCTTATGTTCTTTATCCTTTTTATCTTATATTTTTTAATGCTTTTTAACTTGTCCTTTTTATCTTTATCTTGTATTTATCTTTATCTTATCTTTTTTTATCTCACCTTATCTTTTTATCTTTCTTATCTTTTTAGCTTCGATTTCATGTGTTGATTCATGTTAGTGGACCTCAAACTCTTTTGGGACTAACGCTTGGGTGTCATTGTTGTTGATGTTGTATTTTCCTAGAACTTGCCTTATTCTTCAACTTTTATGCATTCTTCTTTTTGAGCTAAGGATGCCTTAATCTATGTTGTTTCTATCTTAGGCCACACTATAATGTCGTCATGGAACAAATGGAGGTGGGTGGTGATGTTCTAGACATTAGGACATCTTTCTTTGACTCCGGAGTTAGAGATATGATAATTGATAGTGGTACGACGTTGGCTTATCTTCCAGATTCAATCTTTAAGCCTCTCATGAACAAGGTGCATATTATACTTATAAACATCGTTTACTCGTTTCTTTTGCAAAAAGCTTATTAACAGATACTCTTTCCATCCCGTTTCAATGTTCTCAATTGCGTCTTTTGGGACTTCCCATATCAAGGTTCTCATTCTATTTTAGGAAATAATTAACTCTCTTAAATGACTACTATATTATCACATTAGAATTAATATAGCAATAACAACATCATTACCATCAATTACCCCATTATATTATTTATCCACTCAAACTACTTGTCAAATTACTTGAGTTAACTATTGTGTAAAGATCCCACACCGGTCAATTATGGGATTGATCGGTGGCTTATAAGCTAGGTGTCCCCTCCTCCTAATCGGCTAGTCTTTTGGGAGTGAGTTCTACACCTAGGCTTAGGGCCTTGCTATGGGCCTAGTATGGGCTAGGTCCATAACATATTGCCTAAAAAAGCTTGCCAATTTTGAATGGGAACCATCAAACAGAACGTAAGTATTACATGTTTTCATACAAACTTTTGAGATCCTTGTTTATGGCTGTGTTGCTTCAGTTGATGGAAAAACAAAGTGATCTGAACATTCATACAGTTGAAGGGTTCAAATGCATTAACTACAACCAGAAGTAAGGTTTTGTTCCCTCTTCCATATAAATTGCTTTAAAAGTTCTTCGAGTAAAAAAGGACAGGGGCACTGTACTGATTTAGTAAGAATTGCTTTAATCTGTTTTGAGAAAATAAACAGATTAAAAGAACCTTCAAGTTGTTTTTATGGAGTTGTATTTTTGGCTATTTCTGTTAAGTTACTGTATCGAATTAATGTAATTTATGTAATTTCTGCTAGATATAGTCATTCTTCAATTTCTTTTATGGTGGTGTTGCAGTGTTGATGATGGGTTCCCTGTTGTTACTTTCACTTTCAAGGGTTCACTTAAGTTGACAGTTTATCCACATGATTACCTTTTCCCAGTTCACGTAAGCGTTCTAAACTCATGCATGCATAAATGCATTTAACAATGCAATTCTGCATCAAGTTATTTACTTTCAGAAGGGCAGTCATGTGTAGAACAAGAATCCTCTTCCAGGGAAATGGATTCTGCTGCCTCTAGGTCTCTAAGCTTTCACAATTTCCAGTTTATTTTCATTGTATAAGTGATCAGTACAGACCAAGAGTGGTAAAATATTCATAGCCTGCCCCAAAAGTGGAATGAAATGAAAGCATATGAACAAATATTGAAATAACCTAACTGTCGTGGGACCAAAAGTGGGAACCTTTCATTTTGTAGAGGTTCTTTGGCATTTGACATCATTAGTTTGTATTCCTTTTATCCTTGTTACTTAAGAATTGGATCTTTTTTTGCAGGATAATGAATATTGTATCGGCTGGCAAAGCAGTGGAATGCAGACCAGAGATGGGAAGGAAATGACCCTTTTGGGAGGTGATATTTTAATAAAAAATAGTGAATCAGCTTAGTAGTTATTTTTGTAAAGAACACACATCAGTACAGAGACCCAGCATGTCAGTGCTTTTTTTAAATATCGAAGTGAATTATCAAATTGAGTATATATCAAATGTTTTAGTCTCCCCACATCAACCTAACATAAAAGTACAAAAGTGAATTATTATTTATATCAGGTTGATTTTTAGATGGAAACCTAAGCCTTAAGAGTATATACTAATGTACCCCACACCCAAGTTAAGTGAGCAATGTGGAGCACACATCAGACTGGACCACACAAACGCAGTACACACCATGTCAATTTTTTAGTACCGCTGTAGCCGGTGTAGTAGATAAGTAATAATTAACGTGAAACTGGTAAAAATGCTTAGAGCTTATATGCAATTGTCTTATAATGGTTTCTTCCCCATTAATAAGGGAATTCATTATCAATTTTCGGTTTTATAGTAGCAAGCACATTCATCACATGAATGCATGTTGTGTATTTTGTCTCTTGCAGATCTTGTACTCTCTGGCAAGTTGGTTGTATATGATCTCGAGAACCAGACTATTGGCATGACTGAATATAACTGTGAGTCTTGCTGTTGATTAACTTGGTCTCATCATCATCATCATCATCATCATTACCCCAGTGCCGCAAAGGCTCCCACCTACGGTGGGGTAAGGGGGGTCGGATGTACACAGTCTTACCCCTGTACTAAAGCACAGAGAGACTGTTTCCGGATGACCCATGGTGATGTTGATTAACTTGTTCTACATTCACATTTTGTTTTGTCCTGTGGTTTGAAGTCTTATTATGTTCATATTTATCCGTGATAGTGTACAAGTGTGTAGTTATAGTGAATTGTTATTATCAACTTATCCTCCCTGGAAGGGGTTCCTTGGCGCACCATTAAGGTGTTGCTGTGTGTCCCAGAGGTCACGGATTCATGGGTTCAAGTCTTGGAAGCAGCCTCTTGTCAAAAATAATTTGATAGCAGGAGATTTGTCCCTTATACACCGTTATGGTTGGACTCTTCCCCAGATCCTCAGCTTGTGGGATGCCTTCGTGCACCGAGCTGCCCTTTATCAAATTATTATCCCTCACCTAAAAAAGTGTACCGTCTCAAAGGGGTACATTTCGAATTCCATAAGAAAACTAAAGCACGTCACAAATCCAGAAGTGATTCACTTTTCATTTGCTTTGAATGTAATCACTTTGTGATTGTAATTACATTGTTTTGGAAGTAGAGGTAAATCTTTAGACACTCCTAATTGGAAGTAGACGTATGTGCGTACAAACAAGACACTCATAGAACAATTGTATGTGATTGACAGGTTCATCAAGCATCAAAGTGAAAGAGGAAAGCTCTGGAAATGCATATAGTGTGGGTGCCCATGATATTTCAGTTAGTAATTCCGGACGGATGAACACCGGGAATTCCTACATACTCTTTCTCTTAATATCCTTCTTATGCAGTTTCATCAACTGAGATGTCACAGACCACCACACTATTCACAAGTATCCTATGTATGTAAATAATACACACACATTGAGGTGCAGTAAGAGTGAAGTGTCTTATGTTCTCCAGTGTGCTTTATTATATACGGTATTCAACAAGGGGGAATCAAAGTTTTGTGAAATGTGTTTAGTTACTGGCTGCTACAAAGTCTATGCGTTGGAATAGCATACACATTCTTTCTTTCCAGGCTTCTGTTTTGGCCAATTTTGTGTCTTTTGCCCTCAATTTTCGGCGAAAGTGATTGAAGTGTCCTTTTGGAATTTGGGTTGGTTACAAATCACATTTTGAAACAAGTACTTTTCTAATAGAGGGTTTAATGCACCAAATTCTTGTGTGATATATAAATTTGGCGCATTAATCATGTGATTAAAAAATATATCAAATCCTTCCGCGTTATAATTATTCATATACAAGACTTCCTCCAAGAATAAGTTTAACAACTTGGATATCACTACTCCCTATTGGTTTTCCATTTATTTGACAATTAAATTTGTTCATAAAGGATGTTTTAGGCATGGATAATTATAATACAAAAGACTAACGTGTCAAATTTATATATCATGAGAGTTTGGTGTATTGCATCCTTCTAAAAGATAATCATTTTGGCCATCTCCATCACTCCATGATACACATTCTCACATACCGAGTACCGACCATTAATCCATGCCTAGAATGGTCAATGGGCATCAGACATCCATATTCACATGTATCTAGGCATGGACCGGGCCTGATCGGGCTTTTTTGGGGAAAGTTGAGGCCCGGAACTGGCCCGGTTATCCATAGGGTCCGGGCTGGTTTTCCACCTGTTCCAGGTCGGGCCGGTTGATTTTTTTTGCTTTTCTAATTAAACCCCGACCCCCCACCCCTACCCCCAAACCCCCCAAAACACCCAGCCCAACCCAGAAAAAACAAAAAAAAAATGAAAAAAAAGGCCTGGACCGCGCCCGCCCCGGCCGGGGCGGTTCCTATTTTGGTTGACCCGAGCCCGCCCTATGTAACCCCCGGGTCGGGCCTACGGCCTACCCGGACCGGTCTCTGGCTGAGCCATCGGGCCACAGGCCGGTCGGCCCGAAACCGGCCCATCACTACATGTATGTATGGTCTGTTGTACGGTATGTCATTTAAATGTAACTTTTATTTTAGTAAAGTAGTTTATACTCTATCCGTCCCCCTAACAATGGGACAAGATGTAGTGGCACACAAATTAATAAAAAGTGACTTATATGGTTGATATTGAATTGATAAAGTAAAAATAAAATAAGAATGATTTAGAACCACACAAACTTTACTAAATTTGGTATGTGACAATCTTAGTGGGAGTGTGGGACGGACCGAAAAGGTAAAATGGGACAATCACCCCATCCCTAAGGACCCCCCAACACCGACCGGACGGCACGATGAGAGGATGTAAATTGGACTATAATCACAATCTGACAGATAGAGAGTGAGGCTCTGTCCCCGGTACTTGTAGAGGCCCTATGCATTTTTAGCATAGTAACCTCTCATCGCAGTTGTCGGGATTCGAACCCAAGACCTAACTCTTGTGGCACTCCATCAGTACCAGTTGAGCTACGTCCACCGGTTATGAAATTTGACGTTAGTATGCTGCTTGTTTAGAAGCAGTTCAACTCCAACTATGCAAGGCCCCGAAAGTGACATCTAGTGGGACTGTGGGAGGAAAAAGATCGAACTTGGATATATCATATATGGAACTTTGTTCTTTGCAATAATTTAGGGGAATTTTTCACAAGTAGACAAAAAAGTATAAATAATATCACTTTTATCACCTTTGATAATTTCTTTCAAAAATAGTGTAATCAAAATTCGCTTTTCAATATTAAACCTTAAGCCGTAATGCTGTAACGGTAAACTTAAAGCTTGTACGGTTTTGTGCCTTATATATCTAACCATTTGAGGAAATGATGAATTCCAATCAAACAAATTCATAATAATAATAATAAATGTTACAATCGTAAAAATGCTACAAAAATGTTATCTTTTTTAATAGTAAGTGTTGGGTTAAGGGCCCAAGCCGAGGTCCGGCCCACTAACCCATTTTGCCAGACGACCGTCCAGCTAGAAACTAGGCCAGCCCACAGGCCCATGTACTTTAAGCATGGACGAACGTCTGGTGTTGGAGGACTCAGGCCCAGCGGCTCATCCCGACGAACGTCTAAGCAGGGACAAGGAGCGGAGCCACGGGCCATCAGGGGTGACGACGAACGTCTCCTGAGCAAGCCCATAGTCATCGGAGGAGACCCAGCCCACATGGTGAGAATCCATCAAGGCCAGGAGACGAACAGCCAATATCCCTCAAGGGTCACTTGGAGGAATCCAACTCACTTCCCGGGTGGACGAACGTCCCCACTATTCCGGCGGGAAACCTAGATTCTGGCGGGAAGTGCATTTAATGCTAAAGATTTGGTAGTTGGGACACCAGCGGTCCACAGGCTGCCACGTCAGTACAGCCACCTGCCCATTGGCGGGTATAAATAGAAGCATTTATTTCATTGTAAAGGGTTGGCAACTTTCTATTCTTAGCATACTAGCTTCAGCATTCTTACTTGCAGCATTTCTAAGTGCCTTGTAAGACGAACGGCCGACGTGCCTTGTTTAGCGAGTAGATTGTACTTAGGGGAGTTATTACGGAGTTAATAATACCTATTTACATTGCCTGCTATCACTGTTGTCTCCTGATTCATCTAATAGTTGTTGGGCTAGACATTCATACACTCACTCCACTCGAAACCTTTGGGCTTACGTGTTGGGTCCACGGGTTGAAGGAATAAACCTCAACACTGGCGCCGTCTGTGGGAAACTGAGCAAAAAGTTTCCAGAAACTCTCCCAAGCAGCTACTAAGTCTACCTACAGCAAACACGATGTCAGGAAGCAACAATCAGCGTGATCTCTCCGAGCGTCTGGAATCAAGCCGCCGGAATCGCGGCCAGAACTCGGAACTATCCGCAACAATATGGACCTCCGGGGGAAACGGGGGTATCACTGACCTCATTCCTCTGGAGGCCAGGCAGGATCCTCGCCTCATGCGGGAACTCGCAGACACCATGCGTCGCTTGGCAGACGAGAGGGAGGCCCAAAACCAGGTGTACTCTGCAAGTACCCAGCGAACGCCCCTCTCTCCCATACGTCGCATGCAGTCGTATGACGATACGACAGGATCCAGCGACCACCGGCCCTCAGTCCATGAGCGGCTAGGTGGGGGTTCAGGCTCCCGTGGAACGGGAGGGCGAACCAGAGTCAGCATCGCTGCATCCAGGGCTCACACACCATCAGTCCCCCGCCAAATCCCGCGGGGAGACGAGACCCCGAGGATCAACACCGTTGGACGACGTTTCCAACGGCGAGGTGCGCAGATCTTTAGGCGGCCGCACGGTGCTGTGGCCGCTCAGCAGAATGCCGTCCCCGAAGCCGCGCCCCCTGTGTCCCCCGGAAGGGCCGCACAGGATGCAAGGTTGAAGGCCATGGAAAGGCAGATAGCCGAGATGAATAGGCGGGCGGACGTTGGCTCGGCTACACCCTCTTTCTCTCTCACATCTCCCTTTACTCCACGGGTGATGAGCGTCGAGATTCCCCGGGACTGCAGGCCCCCGGGCAACTTGGTGTACAATGGGGCTGGCGATCCCAAGGCCCATCTGATGAGCTACCAAGGGAACCTATCCATGCTGGGAGCGTCAGACGAGGCCATCTGCAGATTGTTCTTCAGCACCCTCAGGGGGCCGGCGCAAGAATGGTTCGGGCAGTTGAGGCCAGGCACCATCGACTCATACGAACAGCTCTCCCAGCAGTTCATGGCGCAGTTTGCTGCCAGCACCACCCCCAGGAAGGACGTCACGGCTCTTGCCCACATCAAACAAGGGCGGGACGAACCGCTGGCTAGGTTCCTGGTAAGGTGGAGGGACGAGGTCCTGCAGGTCGACGATCTGGACGAACGTCTGGCCACCAACATGTTCACCAGTGCGCTGGCCACAGGGGATCTATACCGGGACCTGAGGAGGAATCCCGGCACCAGCTACACCGAGGTTTTGGCTCGGGCACAAAAGTATGCCTCCATCGAGGAGGAGATCAGGCAGCGGGACGGAGTTCCCGCGGCCCACCCACGGAAGATGGCGGACAGGCTTGGACCCGGACCGGGAACCGGGCCCTCCCCCCCAAACAAAAAGAAAAAGGTGGACGGGGCAATGGTCCCTTGGAAGGCTCCGTTCGGAGACAGTCAGACGCGGCCGGACGACCGCTATGTTCCCTTGGCCTGTCCAGTGAGCCAAATCTTTGAGGCCATTAAGGACAAGGGCCTCCTAACGGAACCCCAGGATATGAGTAAGCATATGGGGCACGACCAATCGGCCTACTGTGAATACCATCAGAGGACCGGCCACCTGACGGATAATTGCAGCCAATTAAAGAAAGCGATCGACGAGCTGATCCGTCAGGGGTACCTGGGCGAGTTCACCCAGCTGCTGAACAAAAACAGCCAGCAGAAGCCGAACTCAAGGCACAAGACATGGCGCCGCGACGATCGGCGCGAGGCAGAACCTCAGGACGTGGATTATCGGAGTGCAGATAAACGTCCGGAGGGGTCCCTCGGCCCGAAGGGCAAGAAGAAGAAATTGGAGATCAAGGTGATCTTCGGGGGCGCTGAGACAGGGGATACACCCGCCGAGCGGAAAAAATTTGAGAGGTCACTCTATGTGGGTTCCGTATCAGCACCCCCCACCAAGCGCAATAGAATCGAGGCAATTACCTTCGGCCCCGCTGACCTGCCAATGTCACCGGCGCCGCACAGAGACGAGCTGGTGATCAGCATGGACGTGAACGATGCTATCGTTCGTCGCGTCCTTGTTGATACCGGGAGCAGTGTGAACGTCCTTTACTGGGAGGCTTTCGAAGGAATGAGGCTTCGGAAGGACATGCTGCACCCCCTACGCACCCCGCTGTCCGGCTTCACCGGGGATTGCATTGACGCTGAGGGCACCATCATTTTGCCGGTAGAGGTCGGCGATGGCCCCCACACTGCCCGAATCAGCATGACGTTCGTCGTGGTCCGCCTAAAATGCGCCCACAACGCCATTTTGGGCCGACCCGGCTTGGAAGACTTGGGGGCCATATGCTCCGTACGGCACTCATGCATCAAATTCCCCACCGACACTGGAGTGGGAGTGGCACGTACAGACCCGCATATGGCCAGGGCCTGCTACACGAAGGCGATGGAGAAGCTCAACGAGCGGGAGGCTCGGGTCAACAGCATC